GCATCCACAGGTTCCTGCTCTTTGGCATGGTGCTGGTGGCCATGGTCGTGGTCATCTGTGTTATTGTCCTCAACATCCACTTCCGAACGCCCAGCACCCACGTGCTGTCCGAGGGTGTCAAGAAGGTGAGGGGCGCAGGAAGTATGTACAACAAGCAGATGACCAAGATTTATCCCTGCCTGCCAGCAGCGGGGTGGGCAGCAGAGGGACACTGCTTTAAAAAAAGGAAGCACTGGGTTTCTGTTTATGGTGCGATTTGGTGACAGGTCCTGGTGACAGTTTCAGAACTTGATTAATGTAATCCAAGTCACCAACTGCATACGCTAAGTTAATAACAACAGCAAAAACAACGTGAGGCTGGATGTTGTCCAAATAGATGACCATGTGGTGGGGCCCGTCCGTTCAGAGGAGGAATAACTCAGCAACCGCTGTTACTGTTACAGTACAGCGTAGGTGAGACTCACAGAACCTTCTAGACTTGTGTTCATTTCTAAGTTCAAGAATGGGCAAGACCAAGCAAGCTTCGGTGATGGTCAGCTGGTGCTTACCTCTGGGTTGTGGAGGAAGTGAGCGGGGTGCTCTTGTGGGTTCACGTTCACCATCTTACCTGAGCGGGGATCACCAGGTTGAGGGCACATACACTTAAGGTGTGCTTATTTTGTTGTATGTTTGCTATACCTCCACCAAAAAGTTAAAAAGAGGAAGTTGAGGGGTGCAAAGTGCCCAGAAAAGTGCCTCTCAGCCACCCATCCAGGGACAGTTGAGGATGGCTGAGCACCTTCTGGTGTCTTGAAGTATTTCAGAGGGGAGCTCAGCATTCTGAAGACACTCTGGGGTGTGTATCCCCAAAGGCATGTGGTTTGGGTCTACCAGCTGGAGAAAGCTGAGCATTCTCCTCCCAGGTGATTTACTGCCTCTAAAAACCTGCTGGAGCCTCAGCTAGGGGCCAGTTCTGAGTCTGTGACACACAACAACTGGTAGCACTGTGGCGAAGACATTTGGCTGCTAACCAGGAGCTTTGCAGTTCAAACCCACTGGCCACACCTTGGAAGAAAGATTAGCTCAATGGCAATGGGTAGCATTTTGGGGCATTTTTCTTACTGTTTTCTTTTCGATATAGAATTTATTATCTCTTTTAGAAAGCTCTTTTAAAGAAATATAGTTGTTAGAATACACACAGCAAAACATATAGCAGACGATTTGCATGCATAGATTTCAGTGACACAGGTATCTTCTTCGAGGTGCAAAGCCATTCTCACCATCCTTTTCTCAATTCTTCTTCCCTTATTAACATAAACTTACTGCAGCTGAAGTGCCTGTTTAATCTGTTCAGTTACTGTTGCCCCTTTGATCTCCTATAGTACTGAAAAGAGTCTAATGCTCAAGGCACACTTTTTTTACTAGTTAAGCAAGACTTGTTTGATTTTTTTTTTCCAAGGAATATTTTGTTTTGAGGTTAAGATTATATCGGAGCGTTAGTTTCACGGTTCATCCACCCTCCGTGACTCCAGGCAATCTGGAGTCTCTGAGAAATTAAAATCCTGTTCTACATTTACCCCCCCCTTTGATCAAGATTCCTTTACAAAAACCTTTGTTTAAAAGGCTCGGTAATGGTCTGATGGTAGCCAGGCATCATTTGGCTCTTCTGTTCTCATGGCAAAGAAGGCAGTTGTTCCTGGGGACGTTAGTTACACATTCCATTTCCTCCTCCTATTCTTGACTCTTCTTCCTCTGTTGTTCCTAGCAAATAGAGACCAATGTTTGTTATGCCTTCCTTGAATGGCCACATGGAAGGTTTTTAATACCTCAGATACTACATGAGAAGGGCATGTTGATAGGAGAGGATATTCCTCGGAGGGGGATATCTTGCCTAGAAAGGTGGATGGACAGAAAAAGAGAAAGCCCTTCAACCAGATAGATTCACTTAGTGATTACAGCAATGGGCTTGTGGGTGGCAGAGACTGGGAGGGTGGCACAGGGTTCAGATCTGTTGTTCCAAGAGTCGCTGTGAGTCATTCTTGACTCGACAGCACCTAACAACAACAGGAATTAGAACAGAAGTGCTGGACGCATTATTAGGCCAACTATATAGTTCACTTTTAATTAACAAGTTCTGCTGTATGCCGTGTTCAGGGGCAGAGAGTGGGGTGGGGAAGTTGGGAGCAGCCTAAGTGTCCATCAGGAGGGGGTCAGGGAATGACAGAGGGGAGGACTTTGTAGCAGTCAGGAACAATGGCACAGCCAACGGGATGAGTGACTGACCCTGTGTGTCCCCACGTCCACGCCCCCAGCTCTTCCTGGAGACGCTGCCTGAGTTCCTGCACATGTCGCGCCCGGCGGAGGACGGGCCCAGCCCGGGGACCCTGGTCCGCAGAACCAGCTCCCTGGGCTACATCTCCAAGGCCGAGGAGTACTTCTCGCTCAAGTCCCGCAGCGACCTCATGTTCGAGAAGCAGTCGGAGCGGCACGGGCTGGCACGGCGCCTCACCACTGCCCGTGGGTCCCCAAGGCCTTGGGTCCCGTCTGTGGGTGGCGGGCGAGGGGGCAGGGACTGGCCTCATGTCCACTTCTGGCCCCGTGTCCACAGGCCGGCCCCCGCCAGGCTCTGAGCAGACCCAGCAGGAGCTCTTCAGTGAGCTGAAGCCGGCTGTGGACGGGGCTAACTTCATCGTCGGCCACATGAGGGACCAGAATAATTACAACGAGGTGGGCACCGCAGGGTGGCCGTGCACAGGCCTTCAAGTGGGGCACTGCCCGAGGATATCCTGGCCTCAGAGGGCATGCTTCCTCTCAGAAGCATTGATCGGGGGTTCGCAGCGGTTGCACAGATTCCAGACCCGTAAAGATGGAGAGTCAGCCCTGTCCGCAGCCCTAGCAGCTCGCTGGAATGGGCACACACAGGCCCCCAGCTGCTCCTGTCCCAACCACACTCGGGCATCACTCTGACTGGCCAATCACTTTCCATCTCTGCCTGGCCCAAGGCTGGCACTCCAGATCACGACAGACATAGATAGCTGTCGTTATCATACTGACTGACAAGAGTTTTTCCTGTGAAAGAATGGGTTAGCAGCAGCCAAATTCGAAGGGTTGAGGGAGGCGAGAAGGGCCTGGACCCTTTCCTCAGCACTCCGCCTCAGACTCCCAGCACCTCACTCCTCTCCAGCCCTCTGCAGGCCCTCAGTTGAATGGGAGGGAGGCTGTGGACCTGCCCTCTGCCCTCTACAGGCCCCTGGCCAGACCTGACCGTGGCTGGAGCAGAGCCTCTGCCTCATCTGGGGCTGTCACTGGAGTGTGGGCCTGAGTTGGAGACCCCATCTCTGCCTTTTCTTCCCCCTCAGGAGAAGGACTGCTGGAACCGGATTGCCCGCACGGTGGACCGGCTCTGCCTGTTTGTGGTGACGCCCATCATGGTGGTGGGCACAGCCTGGATCTTCCTGCAGGGTGTCTACAACCAGCCTCCCCCTCAGCCCTTCCCAGGGGACCCTTTCTCCTACCAAGAGAAGGACAAGCGCTTTGTCTAGGGTGGGCCTGGCAGCTCCGGGCGCCACCTTTGCCTGCCAGGCTAGTTGGTGGGGATGGGCGGCTTGATCTGAGGGCTGGGCCTGTGGGTGTAGCTCTGGGTAGGACTTTTGTCTGAGAGCTGGGCCTGAGGGGGCAGAACCGGGTGGGAGTTTTGCTTAAGGGCTGGACCTGAGAGGCATCTCTGGTGGCCATTGGGAGGGGGCTTAGGCTGAGGCCTGGGCCCGAGGGAACAGCCATGTGAATATTAGTGTCACAAGGTGAGAGCAAAAGTGCTCAGTCCCCAGGCTCAAACCTGGCTGGCCTCACATCCCAGCATCAGAATGGAAAGAGCTGGACCCTCGTGGGCTGTGGGCAGGGGGAGAAAAGGAAGCCTCACTTCTCCACAGAGTCCTTTACTGACTGAGGTCTGATGGTGGATGTCAGCTACTCTCATGGGTTGAATTGTGTGTACTTGGCTGGGTCATGATCCTCAGTGGTTTGGCAGTTGTGTGAGGATGTCTCCTGACATCCTTGTGTGAGGATGATCCCTCCTGATGTCACCAGTCAATGGATGGCGATTAGGGTAGAATGTTACCCCCTTACTCTGGTCAGAACCCTGAGCCCACATTTGAGGAGCTCCCCAGGAGAATGGTTGCATCTTACAAGGACTAAGTGATCAGAGGGGGTGCACCCCACTATTACCAGCATGAAAGAAGAGCTGGGAGCAGAACTGGTTGTTTGGACCCATGGTCTCTGTGCTGTGAACCTCCTATACCCAGAGAAAATTGATGCCAAGACACACAAGATCTTCAGGAGCCATAGATGGTGAAGGGAGACGAAGACCTTCCAGCCCTTCCTCTAAAGGCAGTGCCCAAATTTGGACTTCTAAACTGTGAGAGAATAAACTTCTGTTTGATAAAACCACCCACTTGAGCTGTTTTGTTCTAGCAGCCTGGATTACTAAGACAGAGGTTAAAAGAAGGTCCAGGATGATACGAAGGGGGCAGGAGGATGACCCAGGGGCCAGAGAGGAGGCCGTTCCAGCCAGCCTTCCAGGAGAGCCCTCCAAGGGGCCAATGACCAAGGACAGGGTTTAGCCTTGCTGCCGTCCTGACGTAACAGTGAGGACGGGTTGTCAGCATTCTACGCCTGCACTTCGGGCTCCCCAGCCAGGATCTCGGTCTTGGCCACCTGCTCTTTCTTCCCAAATCCAGTAGCTGTGAAATATTTAAGACATACACTAAAAAAATGAAAACTTTAAAAATTATTGTTTATAAAAAATTCAAATGTAATCAGTACTTTACATTTTTATTTGCCAATTCTGGCCATCCTGTCCTCTAATGGATACCCTCACTTATTCATGCCCCATGCAGTCCCCGGCCACAGAAGGACCAGGGATGTGACCCACAGAGTCAGGGAGAAGTGATGTCCTGAGATCCTGGGAGTCCGAAAGAACAGAATCTCACACTTAGGGGAAGCCAGCTGCTGTGTTGAGCATGTGATGCACCCAGGAACTGAAGCCTTCCCCCAAGTGAGTGAAAGCAGATCTGTTAGTCCCAACAAAACCCTCAGACAACAGCAAACCCACAAACCCTGGCCCCGTCCACCAGCTAAGCTACCCCTGGCTTCCTGCGCCTCAGAAACTGTGTGAGATCATGACCATTTGTTGTTTTAAACTGCAAAGTGTTGGGATAATGTGTTCCATAGCAATAAATAAGACTGTCAGTCCCAGCTCTACCACTAGCAGTGTGCCCTTGGGCAAGCTTATTGCTTCTTTTCTGTCTGTCTGTCTGTCTGACTGCCACTGAGTCAGAACTGAGTTATACTTGCAGGCACTTAACAGCAACAACATGCAATCAAGAGATAAGTTATTCAATGCACACCCATGTTTATTGCAGCTTTGTTCACAATAGCAAGGAGTTGGAAACAACCTAAGTGCCCATCAACAAACGAATGGCTAGAGAAGCTGTGGTA